TGTCTTGATTTGCATCTCTCTCAGAGCTAGGGATTTTGAACATTTCTTCATGTGCTTGTTGGCCATCTGAACGTCTTCCTTGGTGAAGTGTCTGTTCATATCCTGTGCCCATTTTTCAATTGGATTATTCACCTTTATCTAAAACTTAGCTATTCTGTCTATGCAAAGTCTTCTATTCCTCAGCCTTCTCTGAAATTACTATTTCTCTTTTATGCTGCTAAAACTAGTCTTACCAAAGTAAAAACTGATCCTCATTGTTGCAAAATCCAATGGGTAAAATACATTTGGATTTAAGAATCTCAACCTCACTGGTACTAAAAGGTATACATAACAAAAACTACTAAGAAATGTTTTTCATTTTTGAAGCTGATGAATGTAAAAAAAGTTTGATATTGCCAGGTTGGCCAGAAGCAGATGTCATAAATTACCAGTGAAAGTTAAATAGATATAGCCTTTGTAGACAGCAATCTGGCAAATTTCAGCAACATAACAAATTCATAAATACTATTTCAGAGTTTCAAAGAGTGCAGATGATCAAAGAATACAGTCTTTAATAAGGATTGCATCTCAATGTCAAGAAGAAAAAAATCTTACCATTTGATCAATAGGCAACATCATGATAGATGAAGAAAAGATGGTAACTGTCAACTTCATCTTACTTGTATCCACAATTAACACCCTTGGTACCAGTAGCAGTCAGGAAATCAGGATACATATTTCACTGGGAAAGTCTGTAGTTAGGGAGTTCTCTAAATTACTGAGGAGTAATGATGTCAGTTTGAGGACGAAGGTGCATCTAATTCAGGCCATGTCTGATCACTTTCTGTGCATCTGAGAGCTGGATAATAAATAAGGATGACAGAAGAATAATTGATGCCTTTGAGCTGTGATTTTGGAGAAGAGCGCTGAACATTCCACAGACTGCCAAAATAACAAGCAAATATGTCTTGGAAAGAATGCAAGCAGAGTGTTCTTTGGAGGCAAGGATGATGAGGCTTCGCCTCATATTCCTTGGAAAGGGACATGATGCTTGGAAAGGTGGAGAGTCGGTAAAGGAGAGGAAGACCCTCAATTGGTGAATTAACACTGTGACTGCCACTATGGGCTCTAATGTGTCAGGAAGTGTGAGGAGGGCACAGGATAGGACAAGGTTCAAAACTATTGTTCATAGGGTCACTGTTGGTCATACTTGACTTGATGGCACCTAACAATAACAACGTATATACTATTTGAACAGTATTCATATTCTAGGAATTTCCCCTACATGTAGACTTATAAATGTGCTGAAAGATGTATGTATAAGAGGATACATTGCAGTGCTGTTTATAATAGCAAAGAGTGGTCATTCCCTTAATGTTTATTACCTACTGGTGGCCTGTTTAAATAAATAATGATACAACCACCAAATGGATTACAATGCTGCTGTCATTAATAATAATATGGCACTAGAATGACTGAACAAACAAATATGTCTTGAAGAAAGTGCAGCCTGTGTGCTCCTTGGAGGCAAGAATGATAAAGCTTCATCTTACATACTTTGGGCATGTGACTAGGAGAGCTTAGGAGATGTCCATTGGAGAAGAACATCATGTTTGGGAAGGTGCAGAGTCTGCAAAGAGAGGCCCTCAACCGGAGGAATTGACGCAGTGACTGCTACAATGGGCTCTAACATGTTGGACAGAACTTGTGAGGATGGCATAGGATAGAACAAGGTTCAGATCTGTTGTTCTACACCTAACAACAATGACAACATTGAATAGTTGACAAGATATTTAAGTTAAAAAAATGTGGAATTTGGGTACAAAGAGGAGAGAAGGATCACAGCACAGATACGATAGCTAACATTTACGTTTTAGTTATTTTATGTCAAGTACTATTCTGAGAACTTCACATATACTACTCAAATAACCCTCAAAGCAACTCTGTAGGTATTACTACTATCTGTATTTTACAGTGGAATACACTGGGGTCTAGAGACCTGAGGGAACTTGCCTAAGATCACACTTTCGTGCAACTAGGATTCAAATGCAAAATTTCTGGTTCCAGTATGTGTTGTTCTTTATGTGTTGTTCTTTATATATTGTGCTAGCTTTACCAGTGCAGCATCTTAGGTATGCATGGAAGATATTTGATAGCCCTGGTTGCTTCCAAAGATAAGGGAAACTTCATTTTATACCTCCTTGTACATTTTGAAGTTTGAGCCACCTGAATGTACAGGTAGTTACTGGATTATAAATTAGTCCCATTTGAACTTGTATATTTTTTTTATACTCTGAATTTTTATTTATTTATTCTTTTTATGTGTGTACCATCAAATTGGATCTGACTGGTACAGGAGGCGATTGTTCCTCCTTCTTCAGCAGAGCATCTGGTGGATTTGAACTGCACACCTCTAGGATTACAGTGCAGTTTCCTGTGAACTTGTATATTAATTCGGGTGGTTAGTTATGGTATGTATCTAATGTCAGTTGGTCAAATGTTTGTCTTAGTATATTGTGTACCTTCCTATGCATACAAAAATATTAAAGAAACACTTTCAGATACACTAAAACATCCTTAATATAATAATACAGTAATAATAATAATAGTTATATGTTTTCCCCTAAGTAATAATTCATTATTTTGAACCATGGCACATGTATATGTACCTTGATTTTTTAGTATAATAGACATTATAGGAGTTGGTTCATATGTAAATCAAATATTCATAACTCAGGGACAGATTGTGTACCTATGTTTTTTAAAAACACATGCAAGTTCACACAAATATCTAATGGACACTTCCAGACATTACAGGGAGTAGCAGTATACAGAACAAGTTAAGAACAAGCATAGGTTTTAGCACTCAACTGCTTAAGTATGAATCTCCTGTTTAGTCCTGTGTGATGTTGCAAATGCAAGATAGTTCAGTAAGGATACTTATAGAGTTATTGAAGAGTTCTGGTGGTGCTATGGGTTAAACATTGAACTTGGGCTTTTAGCTCTATGTACTGACCCAACTTTTTCAAGATGTCTACTTTTTTTTTTAATTCTGTGCAAGCTGAACTTGCAGGGTGTATCACTCCACACCCCCAAGCCCATATGGGTGAGTCAAAGTGTAAACCAACTTTGATGCTGAACAGGATGTTTTAAACATTGAAATGACTATCAAGACCAAAGGTGTGGACTTTGTGGCAGTGCCAAGAACCCCACCTCCTTTCTCTGCTAAATCACCATGGCAGCTAGGACTCTTGCACCTATATCCCCAAAGCTGGAGGGCATTCAAGGCCCTCATCTCAGCGGAGCTCAAACCCGCTTACTATCTGCATTATCCTACTTTCACTTTAGCCAAGCCAACTGCACCCCAGAATTC